TTCTAAAAAATGACCTAAATCCAGCAGGTCACAGACCTCTAGAGAGGAGGACCTACGCATGGAGCAAGAACAAAATGAGGAAAGTGCAGTTTTCCATCTTTGGACCCAATTAAGCAATTCAAGTCTGCTTGGCCAACGACTTTGACTCTTGCATTCCATTGCTAACAAACCAATGAATTGTTGGGCACATGGTCCACTTCTGCGAAAACAATGTGGTTTCGTTTCGTGGTGCTTTTGTTTTTTAATAAACACCAAATCATGAGAAAACAAAATAATAATAATAATAATAATAATAATAATAATAATAATAATAATATCAAATCATAATCATTGTGGGGGTGAAAAAATTTCCAATAGTTTCTACTTGACTTTTACATATAAAGCATGAGAATGCATATATTTTCCCTCCGATATGTCATTGTGAAAGCGAAAGTGAAAGCATTTAAATGAAGGATTTAAGTGAAGGTTGGATTTTGTCTGGGAATCGATTATTTTAATTAATTTTTTATTTTTTTATAAAAAAGTATGTAAAAAATTAAAAAAAATAATGTAATAATTTATAATGATATCAACAATAAAACGTCATTTTAATGACATATTTTTAAGAGAAAAATTTAGATTGAGAGACTAAATTGAAATACCTTTTATATGTTGGGAATTAAATTGATACAATTTAAATATGGAACATTTATTCATAAATCTTTGTTTACCTATTTATATTTACTTAGTTCAAATTATTTTTTTATATTCTAATAAATCTTGTGGGTAACATTGTTATCAAAATATCCCTAATAATAATAGGGTGAAACGTGCATTAATGTTCATATTAACAGTGTGAATGTTTCTTGATGTGAACATTTGTACTATCAAATTTATTTAATGTGAATGCTCACATCACCAAGTTGGTTAGGGTTCAAAAAATATTTGTAAGAGTAAAATTGTCCATAAAATATCTTAAATATAATAATTAGAATTTGGCGGATTGAATGCTCAAAATAATAGGACTTATTGAAATATATAAAGTCTTATGGACTAATTGGGATATAAATATAAAATGTCTTATTGACGTATGAGAAATTACACTAACTTCCGATATTGTAATTATTTAGATGGAATGAAGATATTAAACTCATGCACTATCTCTTTTCTTGCTTTACTTTATTTCTTCTTCTTCTTCTTCTTTTTCCTTTTTTTTTTTCCTTTGCTTTGTTTTGCTTTTTTTTTTTTTTCCAATGTAATTTCCTATATTTTTTTACTAGGAGTTGTTGCATTTTATATAAGTATGAGGTTTGTGAAATGAGACTATTAACCACAGGGGCGGAAATGTAATTTCCAAAACGTCAAGTGGCGGGATGTGATTGGACCACATCTCAGGGGGTGTCAGTGTAATTTATCCGATTTATATTTTTAATAAAATCAGTATTTTAAAAATACTCTTAGCAAGATTTATCAAACAAAATTCAAATTGACTATGAAATTCTTAAATAAAAAATAAATAAAATTTACTATCATGACTAACGTAAACAATAAAATTTTATTATGAGGTTAGTTTCAACAAGAAAAAAAATTATGATTTTTTTTTTATAAAGAATTTTATAGTCGACATTGATCTTATTTAATAGATGTTGATGAGAGAATTCTAAAATTATTAATTTTATTAAAAATTAATATTTAAATTAAAAATTATATCATTTTAAAATTTGAAATATAAAAATAGGCACTAAGGATAAGATTGTCTAACTAAAATGAAAACAAACTTATTTGTCCTTGATAAATGATGTGCTTCTTCTCAAAGGGGCTTGCAAATTACAAAAGGGGACCAGCTTCTCTCCCTTTACAAATTGGACTGGAGAGGTGAAAGGTTGGCCCATTAGATTCAATCTTGGACTACTTTTTGATGATTCGAATTATTCACATTTTAGAATATGTTGAGTTCATCATTCTTATATAAAATCAAGTCAATCAAACAACAGCAATCACATATTCGGATCAGTTTTGTATGAAAAAAATAAACGGTTAAAAAACAAACGATTCATATAAAACTGATCGGAACACGTAATTGTCGTTATTTGATTGACTTGATTTTTTACAAAGATGATGTGCTTGACGAATCCTAAAATATGAATAGTTCGAATTATCAAAACAAAATCTAAAAATCAACACAATGGACTGGACTAGACTGTCTAATATAATTTGGGACTCCAGACAGTCTGAGTCCTTAAAAAAAATTAGATTATCTTTTTTAATTTAAAGGAGACTAATAAAAACCTTTTGGTTAAATATCCCAAAATAATCTGACTTCTCTCTACTTTTGAGAGCTTCTCTCTCTACCCTTTTCTTCTTCTAGGGTTTCTTTTTTGAGCGCCGTTGGGGATGGGAGAGGGGGGCTCCGGCCTCCGGCCACCTCTCTCCTCCTCTCTACCCCCTTTCTCTTCCATTTTCCTCTGCCATTTTCCGGTCAATAAGCTTTGAAAGCTTTGCTTTCCATCTTTTCCTCTGTCATTTTCCGGTCAATAAGCTTTAGAAGCTTTGCTTTCCATCTTCTCCCTCCTTGTGAGGTGTGTTTCTCCTTTTGGTGGGTGTACAGTCTATCTTTTTCCACTCTTCCTTCACTCTGCCTCACTCCAGCCGTAGCCCTCCCTAGACCCGCCGCCGTCTACCTCCTCTGTGCTTCACGCCGGCATCGCCAACACCACATCGACCCCAACTCTGCCACTTCTCGCCGAATCTGTTGCCTCCACACACCAACCTCCTCGGTTTTGGCTTATAGGAGCTTATGTACAAGCCCATGGTGGAAGTGTGCTAACCCACTGGTTTTGAGGTTGAGTTTTGGTCTTTTTGTTATGTTTTTTTGGTTTGGTTTTGCCTATGGAATCCATAAGTGCTTGATGATGCTTTGTTGTATTCTATGATCTATTCTCGGCATACTCTACGGCCATTTGTTGGCCTCTGCTTGCAGTACAAGCACAAGCACTTGTTGTGCTGCTGGGTTTTCTTCATAGTTTTACTCCTATGTTTTTTTTGTTTCTCATCTTTCCTTTGATGGTGTAAGTGTTTTTTTTTTTTGAATGGATTCTCTCCTTGTAAGTGCCGTTTAGCTACTTTAATGATATTCCTCTTCTGATAAAAAAAAAAAAATATCCCAAAATAAATTCCAACTACTTATCATGAGATTTCAATTTGACTTTTTTTTTCCCCTTCCTTTGAAATCCCATCGAGTACAAAACTCATTTTAAATTTAATTCGTTCTAATTATACAAAAACAAATTCATTTTCAATTCCATCAAATTTTTTATTCGTTCCAAACGGAGGGTAAAAAGTTACGCTCTCCCTAACAAGAGATACGACCTAGCCTGCAACGAATCATAACCCAAGAACTAGGCCAAATAGAAACATGTAAAACAATCACAATAAACAAACCTCTCACAATCCGAGAGCTTAGTGTTGTTCGCCCTCTCCATCACTAGAGTGGATCCATTATTTTTTATAAAAAAAATATTGAACATACAATATTTTTATACAAAAATATTATATAGAATAATATTTTTATAATCACAAATTATTATGATGATTTTTTTGATCTTCAATAAAAATTATATTTATATGACATTACTCGTTTTTTATTAATCCATTTTACAAAACTTTACTAGCTAGGTTGGTTGAGAGAGACATATATTTTTGTTTCATGGATTGTCCATATATATATATATATATATCAACTTGGTCATATGAGTCACCTCATATATAAATGACAAATTAAGAATATAATAATATAATAGTATAATACTAGCAGTGGCATGAGAAAATGATGGCTATATATGAAATTAATTAATTTTGAAAGCTTTGTTGCGTGAATGAGTTGGCCGGCAAAATCAATTCCATGATTTAACATGTAACAAAAAATAGTTCATAAGATACTTAATGCATCCAATAGAAAGAGTCCAAACAAATAAATACAAATTAAAAATTAGATAGAGTCCGACAACTAACCAAATACAGTTTAAAATTTCATTCAACTCTAACAATACATACACAAAATTTGTTTCTTAAAAAAAATGCCTACAATATTCAATATATGATTGTGATTTATTTAAAATATAAGTTTCATGAGTTAAAATTCAATCACATGTTGTCTCTTTGAATATATTTATGTGCATGAATTTTATACACTTAATTTTACTCATCTGTAATATTTCAAAGTGGGAGTGACTTGCTTAGTCAATTTGGCAAAAGAAGGTTGGCTTATCACTGAAAGTATGTATTGACCAAAAGAGGATTAGAACTATCCTACATACAATTTTTCTCTCTTCTCGTTACCCTCACTGGCCTCAACCAACATAATTTTTTTTTTAGAACATTGACCAACTTATTGTCTTGGATAATAGAGAGATTTGTCTGGCACAACTTAATGACTTAAGTATTAACGAGGCCTTGGCGGCATCACATTGACAACGCTTCGTTTGATAACATAGGTTTGTAGTTAAAAAATTATTATAAATTATCACATTATTTTTTTTTAAAATTTTTTGTATATCTTTTTATAAAAAATTAAAATAATCAATTTCCAAACTAGTTGAATCCAACGTTAATGACATACGTTCCAATTTAAATCAACTTTCATGGCATATATTTTGATTTTAATTTTTAAATCAAAACAAGTTTAAAGTGGCCAATTTGAGTATTGAACACAGGTTGTTGTAGCAAATGTTAAAACTGATGGAATTTTAGTTGAACTTCAACACTCAATTGACAAAAAACTTAAAATTTATTGATTTAAAAATAAGTCTTTGCTCGTTCTCTCAAGATTTGATTTAAAAATTTAAAACCAAAGTGTTGTCCTAAATGTGTAAAATTAAAAACAAATTTAAACATTCCATCATGTCATCACAATTAAACTTTAATTTTTTGTTAAGAAAAAAATAAAATCATCTAGCCTAGGCACATCTAAAATTTAAAATATTTTGATTTAAAGCTAAAAAAATTCACTAAATACAGGCCGATGTCAAAGAAAGTATAGATATTAATATAAACAGTGATACAAACTGGTGACATATTGATAGTTTTCATCAAAATCTAAGAAAATTAGCAAATAACACAAGAATTTGGCTCCTCCTCTGCTACAGCTCTATAATAAGGGTATGCTTGGTAAGGGTATGTTTGGATGGGAAGGTTTTGATAATAGAATGGGTAGCCCTTAAGCTGATCATCTTTCTTCTTGTCATCGGCTTTCTTGTCATCTTTCTTAGGCTCATCTTTCTTCTTCTCTTCTTTTGCTGGTCCAACTGTGACTATCTCTGTGCGGCAAAGCTTTCTTAACTTGGCCACCACAACCACAGGGTCTATGTCCCCTGTCAATGTCAATTTCCTGTCTTTCATGTCCATTGCTATTGAATCAATCCCTGCAAATTAAACATATCCAAACAAGACATAAGACTTGGGCAAGTTTTTTGTATTGCAAGATTTGGGTTCTATTGCTTTGAATTTAACAATGACAATCTATTTGGTACAACTGGTCAGAAAGGATTAGGATTATCTGCAATGATAGATCAAGATCTCAAAATACAATCATGGCAAGATTGACCCGGATATGGTGTCACTGATCTGCATCAAGCACAATGGTGATTGTTGTGCGGCCCGTGAGACTCATTTAAGATATTATTTTAATGATTTGAATTGTTTAAATTTTAAAAAATAGCGAGAATAATATATATCTATAAAAAATCAAATTAATCGGATATCAATAAACTCTTCATCAAAGTATTGTATATATAAATAAAAAATATATATGTATCAAACTGAATATGAATGTGATTTGATGAAGGAGTTTCCAATATCCAATTAAATTGATTTTACAAGTATATTCTTATCAATATTTTCTAAAATTTGAATAACTCAGATTATTAAAATAAATCTCGAAACCAGTCAAACGGGCCGCACAACAATTACAGTTGTGCATAAGGACATGACCCCAAATCCGATTGAATCACCCTTAAACCACCCAATAATTGTATTTTTTAGATCTTAAACCACCATTGCAAGATTATTGCAATAGTGAATTATTGTAGAAAAGACAGTCAAAAAAGAAAGAAGAAAAAACATATATATAATTTCGGTTGAGAAAATAAAAGAAATGACTATAATTTCTTATCATTTTATTTGGATAAATAAAAATTTAATGATAATATATGTGCCTTTTTATTTTCTTTATTTTGTGTTTAAATGGGCAATTTAAGTATTAAAAAATTTTCATGTATAATTTTCATTTCTCCCTAAATCTTATCATGAAAAACAAAACTTGAATTTTAAGACTGTATTTGAATCAATAATTTAAGAATACTAATTTTTGCTTGCACTTATTTTTTTCATCCATAAATCTTATTAAATTTTTTATGCAAACACAACTTAATAAATTTTTTTATTTTTATTTCTTTCACCATTTAATTATTGAAAATGTTAGTAACAGTACCTGAGAGGCCAGAGACAATCTTCATGGCTTTTTGCTTGCCTTTATCATCATGTAACTCCAATTGCAGTACCACTTTCTGTCAATAATCAAAACCCATAAACAACAAGATAGATCTATATATTAGATCATAATCTCAATCAAGTTAAGCTTTGATTAATTGGTTGAAAGTAATCTTTTTATTTTTTATTTTTTAGTGAGAGTATACATGCCAGAGCTTAATCATACTAAGAATCTAAACCCTTGTTACACTAAATTCAATCATACCGATTCCTCATAATTCACAAAAGGTTGATAAATATATATATTGGTAATGAGAGTATCCAGAACTTTACCCTGATTAAACCTAGATATACGCAGTTCTGTCGCTCCACACATAGTAACTAAATTTACTTCGTTAGAGCATCTCTAATCTTTTATAATTTTTTTAAAATTTAAATTTACGAAAAAAATAATTAAAAGTATGCTCCAACCATTTCATCGAATATATATCAAATCAACAGATATATAATTTTTTCACCCTGTTAAAGATAAATCTTTTTTTTTCAAAATTTTAACCAATCATAATTTTATGAAATTTTTAAGAGAATAAAGATTGGAGAAGGTTTTCATTTATCAAAAATGATGAAAACAGATTTTTAAAGTAAGTTCAAAAAATTTCAAATTAAGATTATAACCAAATTTTTATTCAAAATTGATGAACTAAAACAAGACAACTAAAATCATTTATGAAATTTACTGAATCGTTTAAACACTGAGGAACCTAGGAGAGAAAGAGATGGAAAAGAATCAGAATCTAGAAAAAGTTGTAGAAAGCAATAATATAAAAAAAAAGTAGATTGAATTGAAGATGGAACAGAGAGAGAGAGACAGAGAGTTGGAAATCTAACCTTCATTTTCTCTTGAATTTTAGTGATGTGAGCAAAATTTGCTCAGGAAAATTTGCAGATCAAAGTTGAAAGATCAAGAAGGAATACACTCAAAACTAGAGTGAGAGGGGGAGAGAGAGGGAGAGAGAGAGAGAGAGAGAGAGAGGTGTAATGGACTTTGCCGAGCTGGATGTATCTAATCCAAAGAGTTGTATGTATGCTAACGGGTGACATGCCTGTTTAATTAGATAAGTAAAATTAAAAATTAATATTATAATATATTTATTATTTAAGTGGAAAGAGTATTATTAATTGAAACTCAAGTCATGACTTCAAATCTTATTCATACTTTTTAATAATAATTTTTCGTTTTAAGAGAAAGAAAAGCCATCAAATACTCCCTCTTTTTTTCTTTTCTTTTTTTTTTTTTTGTAATAAATCATCAAATACTTTTTTAATTAATATTTAGGAGTGTTTTGAAAAAATGATAAAAAGTTAATTTTTGTTTTTTTATTTGACTTTTTTTTAAAAAGTGATTTGGAAAGATAGTTAAAAGTTATTTTTGACTTTTTTAATTAATATTTATGTTATCACATCATAATAAAATGACCAAACTTTTTTATCCAATTTTAAAAATTTATATTTTTACCCATATATAACCCTAAATAATATAAAAAATATAATTATAATTTTATGTGTAATTTTTTTAAACTTTACACA